CTGTTTATAAATAAATAAAAAAAAAAGGTTTACACACGAATAACAACTGATGACGTTTGAACATTTCTCAAATAGTGCTTCGTTGATCTCTGCTCGAGTCGCAACTCTGTAAGTGCTTCACCCACGGACTTCAAATCCAAAATAATCGCCAACAGAGCTTAAACACCTAACCTATGCTTAACTATACGTAGAACTTTATTGTATAATTATATTAATATTTAAATGAAAACAATACGTTACAATTGGTGAATGCGTCGTAGAGGTCGGCAGCAGCTTTAAAGAACTTGGCCGAGGACGGGTTGTTCATTGTCATGTTTTCTGAAGTGTGTTGTTGAGTTCTTATTATTTTATTGTGTACACATTAAGTCTTTGATTTTACATTTAGTTTGGTTTAGAGTTTTGATTTTTACTATTTATTTTTTTAATGAGTACATAATATATATATATATATATATATATATATATATATATATATATATATATATATATATATATATATATATGTCGTACCTAGTAGCCAGAACTCACTTTTCAGCCTACAATGCAAGGCCCGATTTGCCTAATAAGCCAAGTTTTCATGAATTAATATATTTTCTCTAATTTTTTTCTTATGAAATGATAAAGCAACCCATACCATTATGTAAGAGGTCAATTTTTTTTTATTGGAGTTAAAATTAACGTAGATATATGACCGAACCTAACCAACCCTACCTAACCTAACCTAACCTATCTTTATAGGTTAGGTTTGGTTAGGTAGCCGAAAAAGTTAGGTTAGGTTAGGTTAGGTAGGTTAGGTAGTCGAAAAGCAATTAATTCATGAAAACTTGGCTTATTAGGCAAATCGGGCCTTGCATAGTAGGCTCAGAAGTGAGTTCTGGCTACTAGGTACGACATATATATATATATATATATATATATATATATATATATGTCGTACCTAGTAGCCAGAACGCACTTCTCGGCCTACTATGCAAGGCCCGAGTTGCCTAATAAGCCAAGTTTTCATGAATTAATTGTTTTTTGACTACCTAACCTACCTAACCTAACCTAACCGAACTTTTTCAGCTACCTAACCTAACCTAACCTATAAAGATAGGTTAGGTTAGGTTAGGTAGGGTTGGTTAGGTTCGGTCATATATCTACATTAGTTTAAACTCCAATAAAAAAAAAATACCTCATACATAATGAAATGGGTAGCTTTATCATTTCATAAGAAAAAAATTAGGGAAAATATATTAATTCAAGAAAACTTGGCTTATTAGGCAAATCGGGCCTTGCATAGTAGGCCGAGAAGTGCGTTCTGGCTACTAGGTACGACATATATATATAAAAGTTTGTGAGGGTACCACCTCTGGTGCCAATGTGGGGACCCATAGCCTCGGAGAAGAAAATAAAAAGTATTCAGAGGAGACCTTGTGGTTTCTCACTGAACACTAATATTATCTTCTCCTACCACCCCCATTCTTTTGTATGTACACATATATATTTACTTTATTTGAACTTTGTTACAAAAAAGGAGTTACATATGGGTTACAAAGATGGTTATCATAGGTTGTCGAGTTCCTCCAGCTCCTCAAATGGCAGGCAGGAACCCTGGATGCAGTGCGCATTTCCCCTCTGTATCGCCACACTGAGGCGCTGGAAAAGAAAGCTTGCAGCTCTCGGGTCCCTCTCGGTATATATATATATATATATATATATATATATATATATATATATATATATATATATATATATATATATATATATATATAGTAAGGTTTTTAGTTAATCTTGCGATATCCTGAATGTATTATCGTTTTAACACTGATGATGAAGCTTGTGACTCCAAAATGTTTGTCATTTTAAATACCTGATGAAGATATATATATATATCTTTTCACTCATCATACTGTTTATATCAGTAAACATCACCACTACATCTATACCACTATCTTCACTACTTTTACCACTACCCCCACCACCACCAATTTCGTGGCCATCATTACCATAACGATAATCACTACCATAAAATCCACCACTATCATGACCACCAGCACTACCCACTACCACAACACCATCACTACTCTCGCTTCACGTCACTCCCTTGGACGTCGAGTCATTAATTATAACTTTCTAACTCAACTTCACTAATAAGCCCAATGCTTTTCCAACGTTTTTCTTACCTGAAGGAAGGGTGTTCCCGAGAAGCATGTCGCTGGCCTTAAATATTTTCTTGCCCAAGTGAGAGTCCCCCAAACAACGACTCTAAATCTAATACCCGGGGAAAGTGCTATTATAACGTTGTTCTCTAAGACTCTGTCCAAGTGTTGATCTCGATGAGCTGGTCTATGTTAACACTAAGGATGAACCTGAGGCTCCGGCTCCTCTCACTACTCCCTCTTATATATATATATCGGGGGTCTGAAGCTATTGCGGTTCGTATCTTCCTCTCTCTTCTCGGGGGTTCCAAATTTTTATACAGCCTTCTCGGAAATTTTATACATTTCATTATCAAAACTCTATTCACCCATAAACGTCCTTATGATAAAGTCGCTCGGCCCTTCTTCCTTCCCTCGGCCAGTGATTTATACAAAACTCAACGGTGACAACAAATTAAAATGTGTGAGGGTGAAATTAACGAGAAAAATCTCATATTATAATAATTTTTCCTTCTAAAGTGCCTTCCTCTGCTTGAGGTGGCACTGAAGACACATGGCAGACAGCTCCTGGCACCATTCAAGTACCTCAAGGCTCCCAAGTAGAGCCTATGAGACTTCATATAGTTTGGTCAGGAATCTTCTCACATGGATCCTTGCCCAAGACTGGTAGCCCGGCGCCTTTACTAGGTCGCATGGTGTACCATACAGGTTGTTAGGGGGCCCCTACTAGGCCACAAAGTAAGTGCTCCATGCAAGTCAACATGTAATTATGAGAAATGGAATATTAGAGTAAACTCAGATCTTCAGGTTTTTCCCAGAGCTCTAGAGTCCTGCTTATAAACAAACATTACCGTGCCGAGCCGTCCCCAAGCACCGGAGGCTGAGGATAAATTGCATTTGGCTTCCTGATGCTTTCCGTGTTTGTGTGGGGAGAGCTGAGTACAGTGTATCTTGAGCGGGACACATCCGGCACCCCGCCTGGCTAGTCTGGAAGGCAAGGAGGTAGTGGAGGGAGAGGGCCTGGAGGGGGAAGATGAGAAAGTGGTGGAGAGGTGGAACAGGGCCAAGAGAAGGCATAAGAGGTGGAACACCACCAGGAGGATGAGGAAGAGGATGCTGAGAAGTACAATAATCCTAAGAGAAAGAAAAGGCGGGAACTGATCAAGAGGCGGGACCAAAGAATCAAATCTAACCCCCCCCTTTCCCCCCGCAAGCACAACTAGGTGAGTACACACACACTAACTGTCCTTGATGATTGCGTCAGGTGGTAATAGCGTGAATAAGAGAAGGCTGTCAGGAATATAGATCCCGGAGCTAAACCATGGTAGAGTTAGTGGAGGCAGTCGTGATTACATTGTCCCAGAGGAGGACGTTTGCAACTATACTGCTCCAGAGGAGGACGTCTGCAACTATACTGTTCCAGAGGAGGACGTCTGCAACTATACTGTTGTAGAGGAGAACGGCCAGAACTATACTGATCCAGATGAGGCTGTTTATGATTACTATGTTCTATTGAAGGCATGGCTTGAGTACACAGTTACAGTGCTCCCGTGGAGGTTGTCTCCAGTAGTGTATTGTTCCAATGGAGCTCGCGGTGGATGACCGGACAGTGTACCTGGCTGTATAGTGGTAACAATGTGAGTCATTACAGCCAGGGCGGCGGAGTGGCGAAAAAACGGACAAAAGAATTAATGGATAAAAAATATTAGGCAAACTCTGAGATTAATGAAAGAGAACGTATGGCAGGACCTCAGTGGTAAGCTGAGTCAAAGTTTAATATAGGTGCGGAGGCAGAGAGCGGCAATGGCGAATAATTTTAAATATTCTTCTCGTACATTTAAACCAAGGGTGCTAGAGGTTGAGATTTATAAGAGAGAGGAGGGTGAGAAAGACGTCTTGTTACCTTGTGCCTTTGTAAATTGTGATGGAAAAGGAGAAGAGTGTTTTGCTTGCACAATGGGAGCTGGCGGAGGGTGTGGGGGTAACGTTTAGGGTGGGAGAGGGGTACGAACCCAGAGGAGAAGGTGGGAGAGTGGAGGGAACCCAGGAGAGAAGGTGGGACAGGGGTACGAACCAAGGGAAAAAGATGGGATGGGTCACATTTCGTTCAGGATGGTGTCACGAATCATGGGCCGATATAGACTATTCGAATTATCGAATGCTTATCTCATATGAGAGTCGGCAGCTGCCACGTACAATGGGGGAGGAATGATAAAACCTTCGTGATTTCATCAACTAGCATGAGAATCGATAGCATATGTCCGGCAATCTTACTGTCACGAAATAGAAATTCCAATCTCCACTGAGAAGTTAATGCTGAAAAATTCAGGGTTTCCGTGATAGACCTCACATATACCAATCATACTGGAAGCGCAGAGTGAGGTGAGATATACGAACCCAAATGAGAGAAACTGAAGGGGGCTGACTGAAGGATGGGATATACCATTCCTGCTGTGGGAGAGTGAAGTAAGATGAAGAACGTTTCAAAATGTTTCAGGATTCTGCATCAAGTTATATTTATTAAACTTAGGTCTACTACCATCTACTATACATCTTGAGGTTATCTTGAGATGATTTCGGGGCATTTTAGTGTCCCCGCGGCCCGGTCCTCGACCAGGCCTCCACCCCCAGGAAGCAGCCCATGACAGCTGACTAACACCCAGGTACCTATTTTACTGCTAGGTAACAGGGGCATAGGGTGAAAGAAACTCTGCCCATTGTTTCTCGCCGGCGCCGGTACATAGGTTGATTACAATTATCTCCACTGGATGTTGTTTAGGAATATACTTTAAAACATATTCAACTTCTTGTAAGTCTATGGTGACAATTCTAAGAGTGACATTTTCTTGCCTGCTGCAGGGTGTGGCGATGTGTGATGGTGAGGAGACTGCTGGGGCGTGTGGTGGCGGCGGCGGCAGGTGTGGTAGTGGTGGTGACGGCGGCAGCGGCGGCGTTGTTGATGGCGGGAGTCACGAGGGGCGTCGCCGCTCACAGCTCTTGCCCCCCCAGCGAGTACACCTGCGACAACCTCCGCTGTATACCCAAGGATCGCATCTGTAATGGCAAGGATGACTGTGGCGACGGCTCGGATGAGAAGCCCAACTGTACCCGTATGTTTTTCCCTCAGGTGGAGACCTGTACCCGTTGATCCTGTATCCATTGGGTTAATGGTAATCCTGTGTTAGTAGTTTCTTTCCCTGTAGTTACCCTACACCTGTTGATCTTCCTTTTTGTAGAGAATGTGCTGCTAAACTACATTTGCTGAAGCTATCTGCACATACAGAATTCTCGTGCCTTATATATCCTTTCATAAATTTAATAACTTGCTACAGTGAGCCTGAAACTATATGAATCTCTACCCTGAATGTCCCTGCTTTTTTATATCGTTGACCTGACCTTATAATCATATCGTTTCTTGTTATAGTGATCCTATAACCATATGTTCTCCTGCTATAGTGATCTTCTAACCATTTATGTTCTTCCGCTATAGTGATCCTATAACCATATGTTCTCCTTCTATAGTGATCCTATAACCATATGTTCTCCTGCTATAGTGATCCTATACCCATCGTACCTCATACCGGTACGTACAGTACAAGTGTAAGCTACTCTATGTACAGTTATAAGGTACCCTTCCTGTAGTATAATCTAGCTCTCCATCAGATATAAGATACCCCTTCCTATAGTTATGCACTACCTCTTTTACAGTTATGAGATATCCTTCCTATAGTTATAAGCAACACCTAAATAGTTATTTTTCATCTATTGATTGGCCTAGCTATTATGATCCTATTTATGTAAGTTGCACTTACTACAGTGATCCTGTATATGTAGGTTGCCCTCTGTGCTTGTGATTCAGTAAATGTAAAATGTCCCTGCTATAGTGATCCTGTATCTATAAGTTTATCATACTTATGGATCCTGTAAGCAGAAGTTCCTTCTGTTAAATAGTGAGCGTGTACCTACAAGTTTCCCTCCTATAACATCTACCTAGTGTTCATTCTTCTTGTAGGGTGCCTGTGTATACTGGCTTATAGCGATTACAACCCGTTCTCGCAAATTTAATAAGTCAATATTGACTTATTAAATATGTGCATAGGTGACATACTTAACATAATAGTTTCCCTTGAAAAGCTTCATAGAAAACACCGACCTTACCTAACCTACTTAGTATGTTAAGATAAGCATCTTATTGCTTCGTAATTACAATTATTACCTAACCTATACCTATAATAGGTTAAGTAACAATTGTAATTACGAAGCTATAAGATGCTTATTTTAACATACTAAGTAGGTTAGGTAAGGTCGGTGTTTTCTATGAAGCTTTTCAAGGGAAACTATTATGTTAAGTATGTCACCTATGCACGCAACTAATAAGTCAATATTGACTTATTAAATTTGCGAGAACGGGTTGAGCGATTATGTACCTAGAGGTTGCCCTTCCTATAGCGAACCTGTAACTACAAGATACACCTCTCGAGGTAGATTCTCTGTTATATATAATCCAAGATCTCTGTCTCTCACTGACTATAGTAGATTCCTTCCTTTCATTACGTATTGATCCTCTGGCCTCCATATTCCCGTTTTCATACACATTGCTCTTAATTGGAGTGAAATCTAGGATCGACCATTCGTGTAACTTATCCAAGACATTATGGAGGCTGCTGCAGTCTTTGTTTGTCGTGATTTTCCTCGTCAGCTTTGTATCATAGGGAAAAGTTACACAGAATACTCTTTTTCATCAGCCAGATTACTTGCGATATACAAGAAATGGGAACTTGCCTTTAGCACTTGCCTTTGTGGGCCTGTTTACGACATTTCCATTTTCCGGTATTTTCTCACTTTCTGTTTCTTGATTGTTGGTTAATTCTTTATCCAATTAAGTACCCTACTACCGGTAAATGAGTTTCTGTTTGTTTATGTGTATGTGCTAATTTTTCTTATTGTAATCATTGTCTCTTCTATCTACTGTCGGAAGTAAATATCTTTGTTTGACGACCTACTTATATTCGCTGGGTTAATATAAATATTTTCTCGTATTGCAGCATGCAATGTGACATACAACGGTGAGGTGGGCCGAAGCTATGAGATCGATTTGCACGAGTCCAATTCCCTGCAACCTCCCTTCACCTGTTACATGACCTTCGTGGCGGCGGGGGATATCTTCGGCGACCTGGTGCAACTCGTCTTTCGAGACTTGGCGTTGGGGTCTTTCAAGTCCCACCACGTCTGCGGGTGTCCCCAAGGGCACTTGTCAGTTAACGAGGCTCACCGGCCCCACATAGGCGGCTTTTGGTGCGGGGGAAGCAGTGACCATAATGTTTACTATAGTGAGACAAGCACAGTCACCGTCACACTCCAGGTCCCGCTACCTGAACAACACACGATTGGAGAGAAGAAAGTACGACTGCGTCTCATGTACAAGTTTCTGCTGGAGGCAGAATCAATTGTACGATATGGACCTTGGAACAGTGCCAAGTACCTGGGTGTGGCACGATCAGGAACCGTGTGTGATCGAGTTTTCGATTCTTGTGACCGTCGAAAATGTCGGGTGCAGTCTCCCAATTATCCTGGCATTTACCCACGTAATGTTACGTGCCAGTACGTGATCAGACAAGCCACGGTTCCTCACGGCCGCCACGCGCTGGTGAGTGTAGGTCAGCCCCAGAGAGGTCGCGTCCACATTAAGCATACTGACGCCGCTTGTGATGGCAACTTGCACTTGTGGTTGGATGGCGACTGTGACGTCGTAGGGGACACACTCAGCATCTATGAAATTCAGGGAGAGAGTCGACGACTGCTGATGCGTTTCTGTGGTGGTGGAAAAGTGCCTCGCATTACAGCCAGTGGGGCGGAGCTCTTACTTGTCTTCCAGACCTCCCCCTTTGACAATTTGTACTTTGATTCATCCGAAGGCACTCATCCTGGGTTCGAATTAGACGTTGGTGTTGCTTTTGTACCTAAAAATTCGTTTCTGTATGCTGACCAAGAGTGTGAGTTTATTATTTCTAGTTTTGAAGCAGCACGAGGCCATTTTGAGAACGTGGCACACTCGCTGCCAAGAGATAGTAAATGTGCTTATAAATTCCGTGGGCGGCCAGACGAGGTCATCTGGCTTTTCTTTACTCGCCTGAAGTCCACCTACACACAACCTCCTTCACGCGATGGACCTCACTGTCGGACACGAGTGACGCTGATGGAAGGAGCAGAGGCTGAAGGAGAGGTGCTGGAGAACACATGTGGGCCACTGGGGGTAAGGATTTGTCACCGTGAACAGCTCGGCCCTGGGCGAAACAGAACTCGGCCATGTGGATCGCAAGAAAGTTACCTAACATCAATGTCTCATGCAACACTCACCATTCACTACCTTCTACCCTCAACAGTGGCAGACCTTGAGTTTCGACTCCATTATGAGTTTGTATACGCGGGTCCTCGAGCTGCGGCGCTCAATCTTCCTGAGCCCTGTGACAGACATATTAACAGTGAACGCAGTAAGAAGGGCCTCCTCGCCTCGCCCGCTAATAACCTGCTTTATGGCAAGTTCGGAGCGACGAGGCTGAAATGTAAATATAGCCTACAAGGTAAAACAAACGAGGCAGTCAGGATCACATTTATATACTTTTATGCTCATAATTCTTCGTGTCCAGGACGAGAGTCGCCACTGCAAGCGTGTGGGCGACCCAACGCCCTGGAAGGTCGAGGTGCACGTCTGGAAGTCTCAGAGTGGCCCTGGTCAGGCGTAGAGCTACCCCAGGCCTGCATATGTCACGGCCTCTACCTACCAGCAACCTTACTCTCATACTCTGCCTCTCTTACTATTACCTTCACTGTCGTAGGAATGGATGTTTTTGATGATTTCTCACATTTTAGTTTTGAACTGGAATACGAGTTTGTTGAGATAGAAGCATGTGAAGAGGATAGAATAGTTACAGGAGAGGCTGGTACGTTAAGTCTAGCCCTTCGACCTCCTCCTGGACCATGTAGAGGACACCCTTGGCTCCTTCAGCCCACAGCTAACCGCTTCTTACTTGTGTCTGTCCCTGGCAAGGCCATCAGAGGAGGCTTGCAGGTAGAAGCTCATGGTCACCTAGTCGCATCGGACGACTCTGTAGCCCCTGCGGAGTGCCAGAGCTCAGAGTTACATGTGTACCAGCCAGGCAATCCAAGACCTCTCAGTGCAGTGTGTGTGTCTCCTGGGGCTGCCGAGACAGTCCATGTCTTTTCGGAGGGTTTTAACGAGCCTCTGTCACTGGACTATCTTGGGGAAGCAGCAAGATCTTTGGTTGTGGTGTTACTGAGTCGTCCGGCTTACCTCTCGGGACAGTCTTCTCAGCAACAACACAAGGCAGTTGATATCCGTTGGGTGGAGGCAGCACCACGCTGGCTGGCAACTAGATGTGCCACGGAGTGTCCTGCCGTACATGCATGTATCAGTGCTTCACTCTTCTGTGACGGGACGTGGCACTGCCCATCGGGTGCTGATGAAGCCGTGGTGACGTGTCTCATGGCGCTGTCTCCGTGGCTCTGGCTTACATTTGGTCTGGCTGTCGGATGCATCTCTGTACTCTCAGGTTGGTGGGGCTGGACATTATGGAAAACTCGACAAGCTCGCAATGCAACTAATGGTTGTAGTGAGGAGGTGTTGACACCCGGCCATCACGAGTCTCCCCCAGAGCCACCAGAGTATCCTGACTGCATAGACGTTGACTTTGAGACAACGGTCTGACGATACGCCCCCCGGGAGGACGACGGGCCCCCGGGGTTGGCTGCACTCTTAAGTAGACTCGCTGCTCTTATCAACGGTTGGAACCATCCACGTCAGCCTTCACTCAACGTTGGTGGCCGAAGGCGGTTTGCTCACAATGGCACGAGAAACAATTCATCGTGTCAGCATAATGGAGTGAGACGTCTGCCCGTTCTTCGACTACCCAATGGAGCTCACAATCCAGGTGTTCGGTTATCAAATGGGACACACAGTCCCCCTCCACTACTCAGTCCAAGGAAGGAAAAGAATGAGTTGAAAGAAAAGGAGGACAAAAAGCCCCCACTGAGTCCTGTCTCAGATAAAGCCAATAGTCCAACATGGAGCATCACGAAAATGAGTCAGTTAGAGGAGGAAGAGGCCGAGGATACGAAAAGTTCTCTAAGTGAGAAGGTTATGAAGGAAACCTACAAGCCGCTGGAGGAGATGGAGTGGCCGAGCTGCTTCCCAGCACCACCTAGTAGCCCCAGCAACACCAGCTCATCACCTTCTCACGAATTCCTGCACGAAATATCACCCTCACCTCCACCCAACTTCAAGCATGAAGCCTCACCATCACCACCTCCTGATTTTAGACATGAAGCTTCGACTCTTCCATTGCGTGATACTAAGTACAAGGAGACGGTGCTTGTGTTACCAGAGAGTGATCTACACGACACTTTCTCATCACCAACGTCACCCATGTATATCGAGCATCATACATCCCCTTCACCTCCTCCAGATTTCCGTTGTGATGTCACACCCACTCCTCATCCAAACACCCCAGTACGATCACCCTTAAGTTGCAGCTCTCCTGTTTCTCCACCTACTCATCTTATAAACAGCCTCCCACCAATGTGTTCACAGCAAAAAAAGTCGCCATCCCCTCCACCAGACTGTAGATGGATTTACGTAAATGATTTGCAACAGCATTCTTCTGCCTCCTCCCCGCGGGGTTCTGTCGCCTCTCCTTCACACGTATGTCGAAGGGGTTCCTCCTCGTCTGTGAGCCAACAGGGTGCCATAACTCTCTCTCCGGCAAAGCTTCAGTACGAGAACCATTACTCTCCACCCGGCAGTCTTCACTCTGCTCCTCCATTATCACCAAACTTAGAACTCACGCCCCAGTCACCACATGAAAGTCAAAATACCTCCTCATCCGCGAGCACATCACAACACGACAGCTCACTATTATTCTTGTGCAATATGTCACCTTCACCTCCTCTGCCACATTTCCCCAACGAAGACTCTTCCGAATCCCCAACGCAGTACGATATACCGGAATCCGACCATTCAGAACATTCCCAGAAGTCGTCAACAGTAATGGGTGCTGCAATCCAGAATGAGACGCTTCACCACCAGGACACACCAAGCTCCTCACCACCAATGAATCAGCAAAGCCAATTGCCAGTTCTGACACAGCTTGAGACTGAGACCAATCGCTCAAGTTCCTGTCAGCAGCCACCAACCCCGCCACCAATACCACGTTTCTTTGACGACGACGAAGACATCCCACCAACACCTCCACCAATACCTATCTTCTTTGATGTCGAAAGTCCTCCGATAACGCCACCGTTACCAGTCAAGCAAAGAAATCTGAAGTTGATAAACCAAGCCGAGATTAAAACAGAAAATATACACCAACAACCTCTTCCTAGAAACGAAATTTATTGTATGCACAGTATGTTGCCAACACTTGATGTAATACAGGAAAGTTCGCCACCTGAGTCACCCTTTGAAGCACATCAGGAAACCTCTCCACCTGAACCTACCTTCGACGTTCACGAACGTCGCCACACTGAACCACCTTTTGATATTGCTCACAAAAGTCCTCCGCCTAAACCACCATTCGATATAAACCACAGAAGTCCTTCGCCAAAATCTTCATCGGGTACGACACCTCTTAAAACCCCTGGTGAGAAAGGGAATGAAGAACCTTCTTTGTCACCTCAATCACACATTGGTCTGCAAGACAAGGAGCCTTCGCCTCCTCCATCTCTCTGTGACTTGGAAGACAGGAGCCCTTCGCCTTCTTCACCACACAATGACCTCCAAGACAAGGGTTTGTCGCCTCCTCCACCACACACCGACCTGCACCACAAGGACCAATCGCCTCCTCCACACCCCGACATGCACCACAAAGGCCAATCGCCTCCTCCCGACACCGATCTGCACCACAAAGGTCAATCGCCTCTTCCCGACACCGATCTGCACCACAAGGACCTATCGCCTCCTCCCGACACTGATCTGCACCACAAGAACCAATCGCCTCCTCCCGACACCGACCTGCACCACAAGGACCAATCGCCTCCTCCACCACACATTGACTTGCAACACAAGGCCCCGTCGCCGCCTGCGTCACCGACATCAACAGCTGCGGATAAAAGTGAGAACTTGCCATCTCCCGAGTACTTCACCCTTCCCGACAACTGGCCCTCCTACCCGCCCTTCTTATTCGGCGACTCAGACTTCCCGCCACCATAATAGAGCACCATCCCTGGAAGTAACCATGACGGGTGGGGGCCATTAAGAGCAACTCTCCACTTGCTAGTGCATAGTACTATAATTCTCGGACACTGTCAAAGCGAGAGAAGGATTGCTGCTACATTAGCGCGGCTGTACGAGCGAGTGTGCGCTACAGACCCTGACTTAACCATGTTACTAGTCTTGGCTCAGCGGTGTCTCTAAAAGATGTATTCCCTTAGGGATGTGATATCACTGTTATGAATGTGCAGTACCCTTCAGCATCACGGCGCAACCCGTCCTCTTAAAAAGAACGTCACTTTTGGCTGGTATGCGCGATATGGCTAAATTTGGACGTAATTTGAAATGAAATCGACTCACAAAAGTGACGTTCTGTTCCGTTTTCTATTTGAGTCGTCCGCCTTACGCGCAGAGGTTATAAGAGGACACTTTAAATTCACGTTTTTCATAACGTTTTGAAACTTTATGAGAATTTCCTGCCCACCTAACCTATCAGAGGACCCTTAACTTACTGTTGTTGAAAAAAGAAATCCCAAATTTATTTTATTTTTTTTTTCATTTTCAAATTACGTCCAAATTCGGCCATACGGGCAAACGGCCAAAAGCGACGTTCTTTTTAAGAGGACAGGTTGCACGGCGTACTCGATAAACATGACACTTAGGTCAAAACTTGTACATTAGTGAGAACTGTATATATGGATATATTTAATTTTTTATCCCCCCCACGAGTCGGAAAGCATACAGCAGCGGTGGTTAGAGTGACCAGTGTGATCACAGTATCCTGCAGGAGCAGGAGCTGGGCTCCGAGGTGCTGGCGGCGATAGCGAGGGAGTCAGAATGTCCCCCTTGCGCTTCTGCTCTTGTGTGTCGCATGCTTGCATTCCTCGACCTGAATTTACCCCACCCACATCCAAATAGTATTTATTATATATTTGATTCATCACTAATTTAACAATATGAGATAAAATATTTTTAGAAAAAGCTTAAATTTCTGATGAATAGCTTTGTTTGTTTTGGCTATAGTTTGTATCACTCACATTTAAGAAATGTTCTTGATATTCCAATTCCCACATTAGCAAAAAGAGCAACTAATGAGTAGATCATTACACAATCAATAATATTCATTATAAATCTCACAGGCACGCCCTTATATCTTTATCCAAACAGTTAAGAATACAAACCAACGGTAACTAACTCGCTTTACACAACAACTTTTACAACCATCAACTCTGCACACCATAGACATCTACAAAAACCATCAACTCTGCACACCATAGAATTCTACAACAACCATGAACTCTGCACACCATAGACCTCTACAACAACCATCAACTCTGCACACCATAGACCTCTACAACAACCATTAACTCTGCACACCATAGACCTCTACAACAACCATCAATTCTGCACACCATAGACCTCTACAACAACCATCAATTCTGCACACCATAGACCTCTACAACAACCATCAACTCTGCTCACCATAGACCTCTACAACAACCATCAACTCTGCACACCATAGACCTCTACAACAACCATCAACTCTGCACACCATAGACCTCTACAACAACCATCAACTCTGCACACCATAGACCTCTACAACAACCATTAACTCTGCACACCATAGACCTCTACAACAACCATCATCTCTCGGCACAACAGCGCTTACCTTAACCCAGGAAGTCTATACACAACACCTAACATTCAACAACTGTCAACGCCACAGTCCCCACAAAAACTAGCCTGTAGCCTGCTGGAGATCAAATAATACACTATAAGAATCTTCCACCCACAATTGGGCCAAAGTCTTCGACTAAAAGTATGATGAACACCATATGTTTAAACACTAATGTGTATAAAAACTAATTCAATGAGACTTGAAGTTTGGCATAATGTAAATGCTCTAAATTTCTGAGCGTCAAGGCAATGTTTGCCTAGAAATCCCCGACTTTTTGTTGTTAATTGTTGTGTTGATGTCGGCAATGCTCTGCACCACGTCCTCTGACGGCGAGGAAAAACAGTTGCATAGTTTATTGTGTGTTAATTAAGAGAGCACCGGTGTGTGTGTGCTTCTCCCTGTTTTTTCTCTCACATTCTGCGCATCAAAGAAAAAGTAAACGTGGGAAGAATAAAGTAAAGGTCTTACTCCTTCTCTGTGAAAGAAAGAAAACGGAACAGAAAGAGAGGGAAAAGTAGGATGAAACTACTTTCTCAAACATAACCAACATTCACTTGGTACTAGCTGTATGGTGCATTCGACCTGCCTCTGGTCTTCCCTTCCTTATCAGTCTCCTGGTCTTCTTCTCTTCCCTGCCAGTCTCCTGGTATTCTTTCCTTCCCTGCCAGTCTCCTGGCATTCTTACTTTCACTACAAGTCCCCTGGTATTCGTCCCCTTCACTCCCACAAACCACACTTTTTTCCAATATGTGATGGAAGATTGCAGCTCCTGTCTTTTAAGCCAAAGCCCTACCATTTTTTCTTCATTCCTACCTTATGACCTATGTAGCTATGTAGCGACCACCACCATACAGCTCCACCACCATACAGCTCCACCACCATACAGCTCCACCACCATACAGCTCCACCACCATACAGCTCCACCACTATACAGCCTACTGCTAACACCACCACTATCAACTCCACTGCCACATCACCACCACAATCACCATACTCCACAACAAGCAAGATCACTACCAATACTATTATCACCACCACAACGATCTCAATAATCCCCATCAACACCATCTCAACAATCACCATCAACACCATTCTCACAATCACCATTAACAGCATCCTCACAACCACCATTCCTCCAACCACCATCAATAGCTTGCCCACACCCATCATTAACACCATCCCCACAACCACTATCAATAAAATCCCCAAAACCACTTATCAACACCATTTTATCCATCACAAGCACTGCTAGAACACTATCATCATTTCCCCTATGAATACTATCATGAAAAGTGCTGCCACCACCACCATTAGTGCCACTACAATCACCGCTATCAACACTACCTGTGTCTGGGTACAAGTGACAGGATGAACAACCCAGCGGGTTTTCTTCCTATTGGGGAGTGTTGTACATGCTGCTATGGCGGTGTGTCCACTCACAAGATGAGTGGCGCTGCCCAATACTGTCACTATGGCGGTGTGTCCACTCACAAGATGAGTGGCGCTGCCCAATACTGTCACTATGGCGGTGTGTCCACTCACAAGATGAGTGGCGCTGCCCAATAAACTCGCCCCTCGGGGCAAAATTTAAATTTACCCTCAATATTGAAACACCGAAGGCCATGTCCCAAATTTGCAGAGCAAAATAACAAGATACTAGAACAAAAGATACGGTAGGAAAGGCGCAAGATAGTCGCTGAAGTGTAGATATACCACAGGTACAATCATAGAACACCAGAGGTCCACGGCTTTGAAATTTTGTCGGTCCAAAATTAGAAGTGTTAAAAAGAGAGACAAATTAGACACTTTCCTCCAAAAAGTACCGGGCAAAACAGGTTGTAGTGGATAGTGGGTTCAAAATCTGTGTCCACCCTGTTAGACCAAGTTAAGCCTGGGCCCCCAAGCCGGGTTTAAGGAGTAGAATAACTCCCAGAACCCACTCCAGGTATACTTCAGGAATACTTAGGTATACTCCAGGTATATTACCACCACCCCTCAACAATTGCCATCAACAGCACATTTAAAAGTCAACACCATCAATATCACCATTACCAGTATCATCACTATCACCTTTACCAGTATCATCACTATCACCTTTACCAGTATCATCACTATCACCTTTACCAGTATCATCACTATCACCACTACCAGTATCATCACTACCACCACTACCAGTATCATCACTATCACCACTACCAGTATCATCACTACCACCACTACCAGTATCATCACTATCACCACTACCAGTATCACCCCTAGCACAATTAACACTATCAAAACTTCCCACCATCACCACTTCTCACCCTTACTCCCACCACAAATACCATTTTGCATATTACCTCGCTAGTACCATTACAGCTCACATCCACAACAATAACTACCATCGTTACCATGCCAACAACCCAGATAGTGTCCGCAACAGCCTCACCACCTGCATAATGTGTACAATATACGCAGTATTACCCAACTACCGCTGTATTATCACCTCAAGTCACCTGCATAAAAATGACCCATCAACTCCTGCTCCCCGTCTCATCAACTTCTGCTCCCCCGTCCCAACAACTGCTCCCCCGTCCCAACAACTGCTCCCCCGTCCCAACAACTCCCGCTTCCCGTCCCATCAACGCCTGCTCCTCGTCCCATCAACGCCTGCTCCCCGTCCCAACAACTGCTCCCCCGTCCCAACAACTCCGGCACCTCGTCCCATCAACGCCTGTTCCCCGTCCCATCAACTCCTGCTCCTCGTCCCATCAACTCCTGATCCCCCATCCCATCAACTCCCTCAATCCCACCAGACCTGGTGCGCATATCATCCCTCTGAAGACAAAAAGCTGTTCACACGGGTGTTCCATAGTCATGCCCCCGGCGCATATCTTACCAGAACGCGTTCTCCAGCAGCTGTTGGTGAGAGTGAGGAGGTTCTAGTGGCTCCAGCACTTGCAAGGTCCTTGTGATGCTATGCAAGTAGCCAGACGCGCGTTCCCTCGCTCGGGGCACTCCAGTTGCAATATTTGAAGTGTTGATAATAATACCTTGCACTCGACCACTGCCATAAGAGGTCCATTCCGGGCCATGGGCACCAGGGTCATTGCGACCCGTGTGTGCTGGGGCCACCACGGCCCAAGAGCACCATCGCCACAGTGAGCCAAGGGCACCACGGCCAACCCCCCGCGTCCCCTGGCTACAGGAATGTGTGTGTACATTACTTCAGCTTTAATTGTGAATTATGGAACCTCTTTAGAACTTAAAAATAAGCAGCGACCATTTCCTGCCTACGGCCGCCATTATTTTAATTTTTGGAATACCAAAATTCTCTGTCATT